TCAATGACTCCCTAACAGAGGGATACATGCAACAACATGTATGACTTCATATCAAACATACAACAGACCACAAAGAATTAAAGAACCACTGAAAAACAGTCGAGTGCAGAGGGAATGAAAGCATGAAAGAAAAGTATGATGATGAATCCAAAACCAAAATGCTTTCACTTGGTTAAATACAGCAAATGACAGGGCATGCAGAGATGACAGGAAAGTACTAGAAAGAAGGAAGTTTCCATGTAAAAGTTTGACAGGGTGACCACATGAGTGGCGTCAGGAGGAAGAGGAACAGGTTAAGATGAGGAGAGACTAAAAGTGACCAGCCTACCTAATACAGGCACTATTGCATAGCATGAGTCCAAAAACTCTTGAGTAGGGATACCATTGTCGTCGTCCAGTCTTATATCACTAAATCTAAAAAAAAGTAGAACAGATTCAAACAGGAGATTATATTAGAGGTGAGTATGCCATTTCAGTTTTTATTTGATCAAATCAAACAGAAAAAAGATACAAGCATCAAAATCAAGCCAGAGAAATGATTCACACAGTGTCATGCAATCCTATGCCTGACAATACCTGAGACTATGCAGCTACTGTGTCTACAGCGTCACAGAGTAGTGTTTGTTTACGTTTATGCTTCAAAACGTCCTCAAATATGTGATCCCCATCTTGAGGTAAATATTGGTTAATTCCGAATATTATACTCACTGGTTCCCAACCTGGGATCCTAGCCCCTCTAAAGGGGGCGCCAAAGATGTTGGGGTTGGGGAGGTCTGCTCTGAGCTTGTCAACATTAGATTTGCACATATTAACTTAAATAAAAATTACTTACTGGATAGTTAATAAAAAGGTATTTTGCTAAGAACAAGTGTGTGTAGGCCTTTTCTGTTGGGGATGTATCAATGAAAACTATTAAAATGTACGTTAATACATATCAGCAATGAACCTTTTTTTTTGCTGTGGGTCCTTGGGGTACTCATCTTTTCTTAGATATAAGTAAGGGTAGTTCCAGAAGACAAAAAGGTTGGGAACCACTGATTTGATCGTAGCTTAATTTACAGAAAGGATTGACTTAAGAACTCATGACCACGTTTGAGTAACACTCGTCAAGGTTTTAAAAAAGGAAAGTTAAATATATTTATAATACAGAGTGAAACAAAAAAGCTTTACAAACCCAAATATCAGTTGAGGGCCTCTCTGTGTCATGTGATCAAGAGAGAACACACTAATATAAAACACTTATCCAAACATCTGAATTCAGTTCAAAACTTGTAATTTCACATGTATTCTGTGTAACACTGTAGTACATATTAATATTATCTTTACATTAACTACGTCTCTGTGCAGCAAAAGTGCAGTGCCTCAAAGACAAAAGTTCTACAAAAGCTTGAACTGGTTAATGTTGATACTGTAAGAGTGAAATATCACAGAGCATTATTCAGTTTCTCATACAGTATTTATGTCTCCTAAAGAATGTGACCTTCCTGAGTAGCATTTTCATACCTGTGACTCATTGTGCTGAAGAAAGTTTCCACCTGCCCTGTGTCTTCTTGCTCTGTAGAAGAATCTACTTCCTGCTGAGCTTCCTCTTGGTCCGGAAGAGCTTCCTGTTGGTGCTGAGGCTGCACAGCATTCACTTCCTGGTTATTGTTGTCATGCTCTTGAATTTGGTCCCCTTTGTGCTTCTGCTCTTTTTCTGTCTCTTTTGTATCATCCTCTTCACTTCCCTCATCCCCCTCTGTTGGTTGCTCGTACTGTTCGATCTCAGAGGTATTCTGGGTAGTGTGTAAAGAAGGAGTGACCTGCTCCTCGAGGAGCAAGCCAGTGCCGTTTGCTGCTTCGCTGTCTGCATGAAGACACAGAGGGGAGTGGTAAGGGTGGGACAGGTCCAAATAATTATACTACAATATCCTAAATAATAATTCATCTTGATTTTTAAGGATTCTAAGTGGGCGGATAGTTTATTAATCCTTTGCAAGAAAATGACACCGTTACAGCAGTCACAGTCAATACATAAAAACACTGGACAAAGAATGTTCAGGCACTAAAAACAAGACATCGAAAATACTACTAACTTTTTTATCAACACATAATATCACATATAACACAAAATCTAACATTTTTAATTAAGGATTAAAGATTAAACTGTGTCAGGTGAACACTGTGTATTCTGTTGATCAATTTAAATTATTCTGATATAGTGCTTTATCAAATCAAAATTCTCATATCAAGTAGACTTAGAAAGATATGATTTTTCAATTGATTTCAACAATGTGTTTAAGAAATAAGGTTAGTGCACCGATGGCCTAGCGGTTAGGTCCATTATGTATGGAAGCTATAGTACAACCTGTGGCTTCTTTCCCACATGTCATTCCCCACTCGCTTTACCTGATTTCGTACTCTATCCACTGTTCTCAGAAATAAAGGCATGAAAGGAAAGGACAGATCTATTTATTTCATCACCAGCACTAACTTTCCTGTACACTGCTCAGGGAAATGCAATAATGTAACTGAACATCAATCAGTGTCTGTTCACAAAGAAAAACTATCACCAGTTCAGATGATGCACAGCCCTTTTGTTCAGTGTCGTCTTTACTTTATGTAATGCTGTGAGGTTTGTTACCTCAGGGTGGGTGTTGGGACACCGGACTTACCTGATGGGGAAGAGTGGTGATCTGGTCTATCAGGCTCATCTGGTCCCTCTGCTCCAGAGTCAAGGCTCTGGGTTTCATGTGCAATTGTTTCTCCTGAGTGTTCAGGTAAATCACTCCATCTGGAATGAAAAGGAAAACTATTTGTTGGCTCTAGAAATTGGATTGTTTTTATTTGGAAAAACATAAAAGGCATCTTTATTTACTGCCATTGAATTGCAACAATAATCTAACCATTTGATGTCAACAGAAAACATTTGAGAGGGCGTTTCATTTTTGCTTCGCTGTACCGAACGCTTCATTGAACAAATGTGACTTTTAGAGATAGATAGAAAAGCAACATAAATATGTAATGAAAAAAAGGAACCTACTTTTCCTCAAGATTCTGACTTAAATGATTGCCAGGTTTAATCTGCTGAAAAAAAAAAAAAGAAATTGTGAGATTGTTAATACATAATTACTGTAGAGCCATGCTGCTTATACTGGATATGATTGGGTTATATGACTGACAGAGGGGTGGTGACAATACATGTACCTTCTGAGGCTTGAGGGCTGCATCTGTAGGGGATCCTGGTGGACTCTGTGTTGCCATATCTGTACTGAAAGTACGATTTGCTATCTGCATGCATTCTTCTAGAGTCCTAAGGAAAGTTGTGCATGTAGACTTCACAATGTTTCCCGTGTCTATGCCTGTCTGAAAAGGCCCACAAACACATCAGTTAGCACTGCCACATATCCAAAACGACACCCTACAGTCTGGGAGAAGCAATTATGATATTTGGTGACAGTGTGAAAAGCACAAAGGTTATTAAATTGCACTAACATTTGCTACCTCTCTGGCATTATAAGCACAGGCACAACATCATTTAATCGTAAGCAAAAAGGTCTCCCAATACAGCAGTTAAACACCAACAGGAGCTTCTCTTATTTCGTCAGCTCATCCAAACTTTAACCTTACCTCTGCTGTGTCTCCTAGCTCATCATTCTCCTTGATCCTGTTTACTTGTTGTAGGAGAAGGTCACAGTACAATCTGAGCTCTGACATCTTAGTTTTCAGCGCCTCTGTGTTTTCCTGGAGCTCTGTATCAACAAATGGGCCAACATGAAGACAGATGTTAACAGTATATATTTATTTTTTCCCGGATTTGGACTGTAGGGTATCTTCATACCTTTTTCTCTCTTTGTCCGGTTGTCCGTCAGGCAGGCTTTGGCTGTTCCCAGTGCCACCAGCCATTTTTGCCTCTCTGCTGCATTGATGGCTCTGAGGTAAAAGTACTGCTCTCCTGGGATGGTCAGGTCAACTCGTGTCGAGTCAGAGGAATGAACTGAAAGAAATCACAGCACCACACAACAAGTCAAGTTAATTAACACACAGCGACGCACGATGAAACGAAGTTCACTGTGAGCCAAAGTGAGTCACACTGACCTTGGATTTCACAAACTGAGATTTTAATGCTGCCCTTGCAACCTTTCCAGGCATCTTCTTGAGAGTCATAGTAAGACAAAGTTCCTCCATCGAGCACAAACCAACGTGGCTGCCATCCTGGAAAGAAAACACGTTTTTTTAACACTTTCTGTTGTGTTGTTGTTGTTTTAAAAAAGGGGAAACATTAAATCTATCATTTAGTAAAAGTCAGTAAACCAGAGTTAACCCTTAGGTCATGTTCGCAGCAGATAATCAGGATTAAAATGACAGATGGTGGGAACTACCTTCACTACCAAGCACCACCTCTAAACTCTCCACAAATGAAGCTATCCTCTAATTCTATAAACAACTCGCTTTGCTAAGTCATTAAACCTTCTTTATTTAAAATGGTACACAAGCTGTAACATGAGCTAACCCGCTGCTGGTTATCTCAAACTCATGACAAGTGAGCTTTGACGTTGTCATGCTAGCTAGCGACCTTAACAACGAGCACCAAAACACAAATCACCGAGCGACTCAGAGGAGTAATCTTACCGCTTATGTAATTGGTCCATTTATACAGCGTTCCTTCCATTGTTTAAATGTGTGTTTCGCCGTTCATTACTTGTTTATCATAACAAGAAATGATGCACAGCTGATTGCAGAGACTCCATCGGGCCCCGGGTGTGATTTGTGGAGCAATGTCCACAGCTCTGTATCTCAGATACGTTCATAAAAGTGCGTAAAGTTTTTCATGAATGAGGCTCTTAGCAGTCACAAAGTCGCCCCTCCCATTTACAGCAGACGGATTTAGGTTTTGTGGGCGTGGATTACTGTGATTGACACACGTTGTGACCGCTTGAGTAGGAGAGTAAATAAAAGGGGCGGGATTTAGAAAGCAGTCATCCAATAGCAGAAAAGGAGGAGGGCAGACAGCGAAACAGTGGCTGCGTTCATTGCAGAAGTTGGATGCCACGTAGTTGGCATTCCTAACATGTATTTATTTTAAGTCCCTGTATTTTTAGAGGTGAACTTTTGCATTTTGTACTTTTTTATTTTATTTTAGTGAGTAACTCTTTTTCTATCAGAATGAATATTTTTCACATTTGTTCGATATTGCCCTCACTTTTTGTGTTTGTCACTGGGGGTAAACTACCCGAGCCAGAGGTGAAGATAGAAGTTATACACAAACCCTTCATGTGCTATCGTAAGTCAAAATACGGAGACATGCTTCTTGTTCACTACGATGGATTCTTGGAGAGCAATGGCACCAGGTTTCATTCAAGGTAATGTGTCACTGAAAGCTCTGACAAAGTCTCATGATAGGTTATTACTGTGCTGTAATAGCCTATCATGTTGCATGAGAACTAACTATAGCTGAAATGTATTTAATGGGCTTAAACATCTCATCACTTGTCAATATCTCTGCATTGTCAGTAAGGTGGCAACCATTCCTCCCTTACTTTAAATATCTGTGATATTATTGTGTACTGAACTCTTCTTTCTCAAAGACAACTGATTGATCCTTGTAACTCTTGACAGCCGTAATGAAGGAGATAAGAATCCAGTATGGTTCACTCTTGGGATCAAGGAGGTGCTCAAAGGTTGGGATAAGGGTCTCAAAGACATGTGCACAGGAGAGCGCAGAAAACTGACCGTCCCTCCATCTCTGGCTTATGGCAAGGAAGGAAAAGGTAACATAGACTACATAAAAGCATGCTATAGGTTGCATCAAAGTCCCCTTTCTTGAAATCCATCAGAAATTATACTTTAAGATGATTATCTTTACAGGCAAGATCCCTCCTAGTAGTACCCTCGTTTTTGACATCGAGCTCATGGACATCCAAAATGGTCCGAGGTCACATGAGTCTTTCCGGGACATGGATCTAAATGATGACTGGAAGCTCTCTCGACAGGAGGTTTGAAAGTCTTACTTTGCTCTTCCTTTCTGTATGAGGGGGTTTGATTATTGCTAAAAGTAATTATTATTGTCCACACTGTAGGTGACGGAGTACCTGAAGAAAGAATTTGAGAAACATGGATACTCGCCTAATGATACACATCATGAAGTGATGGTGGATGACATCTTCAAAAATGAGGATGAGGATAAAGATGGTTTTATATCTGCAAGAGAATTTACCTACCAGCACGATGAGCTCTGATTTCACCTGTTTTTTTTGTTTTTGTTATCTACCAGAGTGTCTGTTTCCATTTCATCAGGACATGACAAAACTTAAGGACACCACCGGGCTGTTTTCACATGACAGTTGAACTGAATTGTCTTACTTTTAGAAAAAACTAGACACACTACACTTGCTCAATTGCTTTAGTTTAGTTGTTTAGTAATTTTATGAAAATGATATCCACACATTTTTACATCTCCATTCCTCATGCACTGACAATGTCACCACAGATGTATTAAGGCTGCAGTGTTGGCTTCTTTTTAAATTAAATTATTTCATTAGATATATGTGAACGTTAAGTTTATATTTGTCTGTTATCTTTGTAATACATGTGCTGTGAGTAGGGGCATCAAAAGGAATTCTGGGCCACATGACAAAACATCACTGCAGGCCCAATAAGCCACAGCCCAAGCCAACCCCACACAGTTACTGTAACCACAACACCACGCACATGAGCCATTAAAAGCTTTAAAGAACAAAAACTCTTCGTTAAATTGGGGATCAATGACCACAGAGACGAAAGTGTATTATTTTGTCAGCATCACCTGAAGTCATATTTATTTGAACAAACACCAGACATTCACACCTTACCATATTAAGAATGTATAGAGAAGTACACTCAGAAGTACAACCGATTGCTTTATGCTCTCTGCTTGAAAAGTGAGTCTGTTCCTCACACTTTCAGGTCTGAGGAAGAGCAGTTTGATTTGAAATGTCACTTGTTAATAAATCCTTTAACAGGAGGTCCTTGGTGTGCAGATCTTTTTTGCTCATTATAGAATCAACAATAAACCAGCAACGAAGACAATTCTAAATCCTCCACAATCCTCTCCAGTCAAGATGGACCTTTGCCTAATATTGAAACCTCTGTCTATTGCAATAGTTGATGACAGACCACCGATTGGCATATCAAATAATATTCACCACAGGTTGGAATCAAACCAGAAGTTGTTGATAAACAAGGGAGTGTCAGAATTCGCTGAGCTAATGGTAAAGCTGGCAAAGCTTTTAAAGTCATAATGAATGTTTTATTTTTTTCTTGACATAAATGTTTGACTGCCATTTATGAATAAATTCCAATAAATACTTCAACACATTCAGCAACACTTGTCGTGACCTCAAATTATTCATCTCAGCTCTTAGTTTACTTTGTGTCTTTTTATCACTGAACGTGATAGTGGGACCGATTAAAAACCTTACAAAAAAATATCCTAAGACCCTTCCTCCTTTGGGACCCTTAGCAGTCAGACCCACTTTTCTTCCCACTGTGACACCCATGACTAGAATCTAAACCTTGAAGATGAGATGCTGTTCGGTATTTTTCTTTCTGTGCATGTCTTCATTAATCACTAGAGGGCAGTCTTGTCCTACACTTTTGTGTTGAAAATAATAATAATAATTTCCCTCTATTGCATACTGTCCCTGGCAGACCTAGTGATCTACATGAGAGTAAAAGCACATTTACCATTCCTTTTCATCAGGCAGGATTTAAGGATAAGGATGTAGTATAATGGCTTGACTCATCACAGTTTATCACACCATTATACATCATGATAAATGCTGTATAACAAGTAGAGGAACGGGAACCTGTGACTCAGTGATCGAACAGCAGGCAGCATCAGCAGGAAGCACATAGTGTCAAGATTTAAGAAGCCAAAGAGATGTGTGAAGGCAGTCAGTGCTCTTGGTCGATTATATTTTCTTTAAACCCTCCAAATGAAAGCATTTGAAGATTTGGGATGAATGAATTTTGACATAAAATATGAGCTATCCCCGTTCAACCATAGACTGTATATAAACAGTCAATGTGTTCAACTGATAATAATAAAAATGAGGTTTAGATAGAAAAATGCTTTCTTTCTTCAGCCTTACAGTAAAGGCATTAACAAACATAGATAATTACTAAGCTATTTATTGAGAACTAATACCTCAGTAAGACTTGAATCATGGAGATATATGACTATCACACCAGGATAAGTGATCGGTATTGAAGGCGAAATACTGCATGTCTGCACTTGAATGATGCTGGTAATTTACACACCACGATTGTTTTAAATAAAAAAAGAAAGAAAAAGATGTGTAAGAAATAAACCTTTTATTGTTATGCAGTGTTTTCCTGCTAAAATGTCTTTCTGATGAATGCTCATGTGCACCTGTGATACTTTTTAGAAACTGCAGACAGATTTCAGAGTAGTAACCATAGAGCGAATACTGTGGTGCAGTTTATGTTTCACCTCTGCAGTTCATGTGGTACCTGGCAAATGTCCACCGTGCTCACCACACCTACCTACAGGTAAAAATGGAGGAGGAGGAAGGTTATATGGCAAGACGGAGATTTAATTTGCCTTCTGGGTAAAAGAAAAACTGGCAGGATCTGAGATGTAGCTGTCACAAGTATTAAAAAAAGGGTTGTAAACCACATACCTGCAATTCACTGTGCCTCAGGCTGCAAATTCATCACAAACACAGGGATGGGCCTTTTTCTTCTGATTTAACTTCCTCTATAGCTCTCACACTGTAATAAGACTATGAATAAAGACCAACATTTTTAAATTCAGGTCAATCTATTTCAAGCGGAAGTTTGCTCTCCTTTAATAAATCATCATTTGATAAATTACATTTGCAACCGTCACAAAAATACATTTTGATAAAATGGATTTGTAGAAAGAATGTACTAAATCACATTAAATGAACTGTGAAAGAAACACGCTCGGCACAGCTTTAGTATGACTGTTTACCTCTATGGCTTTGTGAAGTTGAAGGACACTACAGCTGCACCGAGCGATGTTACTGGCATACAAAAAGAAAAAGGGCCCAGATGTTATTTTACAGCTGAAAATGTCCCAGATTACAGCATGTAAACAGAAATTCTACAAAGTTGAAACAAAAATGTTTGCAGATGACTGTTGCTCATGTGTTGCATGAGTCTGAAACATGACACGTGAATGGAAATCACCACCTATGTATTCCTCGCCCCAACACTTGAGCACATTGCAAATGAGAATGGCACATCTACCAGCCCCCTTCTTCTCAACTTTAAACATTCAGAACTCAATGCAACAAACACCATCAAACAGTTTGTATTAGTGTGACAAAAGAACATGATGTGGAGTAAAAGACAAATATAAACATCTTTACAAAATTAATCTGTACACTTGTTGCAAAAAAAGTGCTTCATGAGCGCCAAATAGTCTCATCTCTCATATTTTAGAACACACAGTTTACATTTTGATCATTACATGATCTGATTCTATGGACAATTAAGTTAAAACCAGCATTCCCACTGAAATCACAGTATTCACACATGTCATAAGGGAACGTGGGCTTGGCTGCTGCAGTAAGGTCGGTTTACACAACACCAGACTCACTGATTGACAACGAGCCAGGGGAAGATTTCACACAGCGCTGTCATGACTAAGTCTACACCAGGTAGTCTTCCATTTAAACAGAGGAGAAACAGCACTGTAAGAAGTAAAAAATACAGTATACTTTCCTTTTCAAAAGTAAAGAAAAAAAAAAAAAGGATGGTCTTTGCCCAAAGAAAGAAATCCCAAAACATACAGCAACAAGACGATGTCAACACTAAACAAACAGTAAACTAAAACAGTCATGCGAGATACGTGTTTCAAGTTCAGTCTGATAACAAACTGTTCAGAAACTTCATTAGAATCAAGGTGGCTTGAATTTCCTCTTTGACAGAATAAATTATTGTCCTTCGTGTCTGTAAAAAGGCCTGCAGGCCTTAGTCCTCAGAACAAAACATCTTCATTCTCGATCATGAGCTGCACCACCAGTTTCTGCTGCCTCATGTCATTCAGGGTTGTCAAGGCATTCAGCTCCGTCGGCTGCATAAGTGTCGGACCAAAGATAATCCCCAGGTTCTCAGCATTCATTAAATTGTCCTTTTCAAACTGGGTCACCCTGTAAAACAGACAAGATAACCAGCCTGTAAGAACAGTCCAAGTCAGCAAAATACAAAAACAGAAACGCATTAAAAAGTGGTTTTCTTTCTCTCGTCATTCACCTCAAGAATATTTCAATTCAAGGATAAGGATGACGTTATTAAGCAATTCTGATATTTTCAACAACCCCATGAAAAGACCAAAACCATTACTGGTTCAAGACATCTGTTTAACAGATACAAACATAATGTTTGTACTCACTGCATTTTTGTTTGCAATTGTTACTCAAAGTGAAGCATCACCATCATTTAAACTATTTTCAACTGTGGTTTAATACTGGAGTTTTTCTGACAGTGGAGTGGTTTATATGGGATTGGCTTTGAAAAAAACGACATTACCCTCTTTATATTAAAGAAAGGAATACATCCCTAAGAAGTGTGCTGAGTCAGTGGTCATGCATGCAATTCTTGAAAGTAGGATGAATTTATTGTTGGTTTTGTTCTTTTTTTCATGAATTCTGGCAACTTAACTTAAGAAGCTTATTCTGATGACCTTTGTGTAACAACTGACCTCTTGAGGTGGGCCATCAGGTACCGTAAGGTCTCATAGTGGGCTGGGGGGAGCTGCAGCAAATTCTCATGGATGCCCTCCAGTCTGGATTCAGCATTTGGAATTTCTACATTACATCAATGACATGATTCAAATCAGAAAACTGCTGAATACTAATATGACAAAGTCATGGCATGAAATGATAAAGAGGAGAACTTACTTGCAGCTTGAATAAACTTGGAGTACAAGTCAAAAGTAATGACTGGAATGGGAAGGTCTCTTAAGTAGAGCTTCAAAGCACCAGCGATGATGTTAATGTCTGCATAGGCATTGGCACTGATGTCAGCCTTTTCACCATCTGGCCATGAAAAGAAGGAAATATATAACTTGCATGTCATAACACATTTGCATCCATTAATACAGGCTGAATGTTCTCGTGGATACCATAAAATAAGTGAGAATGCTGTTTCGTTATGCTACATTTCCACAGAAACAAGTATCATATTTAAATATGTTAACCCCTGAACGATAACCTCAGAGACCCTGTACATTAGGAACATCAATGTGATGTTGATGTGTACAAACCTCGGTCAAATGCCAGCCTCACTTCTTCTATGTGCTCAGAGAATCCAGACACTCTGTAGAGACCTTCAGATTTCATACCTGCAACAAAACAAAAAGAAATCGAGAAACTTTTCTCATTTGTAAGGGCTTTTTGGTTCCCCATTTACTGCACTCTACATTCTTTTCTCTCTGAAGTCCTTGATAGTGTATTATGGGATGACTTTACCTCTCAGCTCTATCTCTTGGATACACATGTCCACCACCATGGGTCGTGTCGTGTTGTGAGCTTTGACCAGCGTGGTGAGGTCACAGCTAAACACTTTCTTTATCCTGCGCAGGTCTGGCTGGCAGTCGCTGGGAACCAGTTTAGAGCACTGCTTGTGTACATTCAGCCCACAATCTGAAGGAGCAAGAGGGAGATAACCAGAGAGAGAGAAAGAAAGAGAGATAGAGATTAATGTCAGACAGATGATAACACAACCATCACAGCAGCTTAAGGACACATGTTGAAAAGGTTTCCCAGAGTCAGTGATGAGCAGCGCTGTCAGCCAGCACAGACGCAGCTAAGCTGTCACGGTGAGATGAGCACGAGATTGATAACAGCAAACATGGCAGCATGGGCCGAGGTTTTGGTTGTACGTTTAGTCTCATGGAGCGGGCTAAACAGCTGGCAGGAGTAGAGAGGAGGACTTGAATGTAGAGTTTGAAGGAGCAGCACCTGTAGATGT